CTTTGGACGAGCACACAAAACGTGTCCCCTCAAAGGGGAGGGTCCGCTGAAGACGGGGGTGTATTAGATGTGTGGGCCCAAACCTTATTTTGGGTGCAAGGGGCAGTTCCTTATTCAAATCTCCTTTGACATACATGCCTCGGGGAAGGCCTGCGAATAGAAGCTTGTGGCATCGGAACTGGTGTTTGGACCGGGCATCACTGCATGTCACCTTGCAGGGCCCAGTCCCCAGAACGTGGGGATGTGTCATTTGGGGTGGTCGCAAGATTATTTTGGGGTGCAGCCTGGCTCCAGTGTCTGCCCGTGTGACTGTCCTGGGGGCACTGCACTTTGGAGCAGCTGGCACCAGAACCGCGCTTTGGACCAGCACACAGAACATGTCCCCTTGAAGGGGAGGGTCTGCTGAAGATGGGGGTGTATGAGGTGTGGGGGTCCAAACCTCATTTTGGGTGCTGGGGGCACTTCCTTATTCAAATCTCCTTTGACATACAGGCCTCGGGGAAGGTTTGCGAATAGAAGCTTGTGCCATCAGAACCACTGTTTGGACCGGGCATCACTGCATGTCACCTTGCAGGGCCCAGTCCCCAGAGCGTGGGGATGTGTCATTTGGGGTGGTCACAAGATTATTTTGGGGTGCAGCCTGGCTCCAGTGTCTGCTTGTGTGATTGTCCTAGGGGCACTGCACTTTGGAGCAGCTGGCACCAGATCTGCGCTTTGGACCAGCACACAGAATGTGTCCCCTTGAAGGGGAGAGTCCTGTGAATGTGGGGGTATATGATACGTGGTGGTCCAGACCTTATTTTGGGGTTCAGAGCTTTCCAACTCACTCTCCCTAGTGTTTCTGACTACACGAATAAGTAACGAATAAGGAATGAATAAGGAAGTGCGAATAAGGAACCAACTTCAGCCTCCTCCCACGACGCACCATGCCGTCGCCAGGAAGTGACGCCAGGCAACGCTCTGGCAATGGTACCATCGAGTTCCCAGCCCCATTGCCAGAGCGTCGCCCGGCGTCACTTCCTGGTGACGGTATGGTGCAGCGCGTCTGTCTTCCGCGCGGGAATGGCCCTGAGAAGAAGTATGTGTCCCCCACCGATTCTCAGTAAGTACTTGGTAAGCCTAGGTGCCACCGTTCTCACTAAACCGAAAGGAAACAGGGCCTGTAATAGGCTGTGCGCTGAAACTTCTCACCACTCAAAAACAGTCACGGGTATGGATCCCAATCTAGGGATGATAGCCTTAAGGCAATCATCCTGTGATATCTTTACTCAACGGTCACCCCAGAGACCTATAAACAACTTTGAATCCAGTTCCCAAGAATGAAAGAGGGAGAAAGCGGTATTTCTGTTTTTGAAACACAAGAGCCATCTTCTGGGGAAGCCGCAGCAGCATGCATGGGAATGAGGAAGGCAGGCAGGCAGGCAGGGGAGAAAGAGAAGTGTTGCCATCTCATTTGAGAAATGGGCATGATGTCAACACAAGGAAACCAGAGTTCTGCTTCTAGCAATGCCACAAACACGGCTTTTCCCAGGGAAGGAGAGATTGTTGTTATACCTTGTAGTGGCGGGGTCACAATAGGCTTTTTCGACTTCCTCCATTGAGGGCAAATCATTCCATTTCATTCCAGTATACAATTGCCATCGATAAGGCAGATGGTAATGGATCATCTCACAGTTACCTGCAAAGGCAATAACAGGAGAGGCTAACAGGAGCCGAGTGCAAATTCCTCACCCCCTACTTGGATAACCACATCAAACTCTCCCTGTGTTTTCTGATGAAATCAACAGACTGGCTCCAATAGCCCCAAAGAGCAGGAGAAATTGCTGTATTGCTGATTTTTAGTCCAGTGGCACCTTTTTAAGACCAGCGTAGTTTAATTCTGGGTATAAGCTTTCGTGCGCATGCACACTTCTTCACTGCACACGAAAGCTTATACCCAGAAGTAAACCTTGGAGTAGAGCAGATGAAACCTTCCAGTACTAACCCACAAGAGTATGAGCAGAACTGCACTAATGCTGGGCTGCAATCTACTCCCAAATCCATGACTGGCATAGCCCTTGATGAACTGCAAATTGTATGGCGACTTAACTGGACTGGGAGGAGTGGAAACGGGGAGCTCCAGGCCTCCCCACCCCCGTCAGCATCCCAGCTACTTCCTGCTTGGGGGCACCCTGCCCACTTCCACCCTGCAGCTGCCAATACACCTTCCTTGGCTGGGAGGGCGGGGTGTAAATTTGATAAATAAATAAATAAGCCCTGAGGCATTACTCCTAAGCAACCCAGATGGAAAGCCTGCCCTCTACTTCTCTGTTGGCTTACTTTTATGTTTGCAGAACTGCCAGACATAGAACAGACAGATCTCATCACTTTTCTTTTTCTCTTCATTCTGGGGAGGTTTGGAAGGAGGAGCTGCTTTGACACCTGCAGGAGAAAAGGTGGGGGGGAACCAACCAAATCAAATTAATACCTAAGAAAATCCGGCAGCAGCTAGGTAGACTGCTAACTTCAGGACCTCAAACCAATGCCCGTTAAGGGTATGTGGGGTTAATCCTACGTGACACCACAAGATGACTTAAAGCAGAACACTGATCTTCACTGACCCGCCACTGGGTCACAAGGTTGCCCGAAACGGACTGAATTAGCAATGAGATGCCCGCCTCCTGGAGGGAGAAGGGGAAAGGCCAACACAGCGAGGAGGAACTCCGGGAGTCACAACGATTTGTGCACCCAGATGGGGAACATCAAGAGCCTCTAGGAGGGAAGTCTCGGCACCGTCAGCAAAGCACAATTCCCAAGATACTTGGAGGAAACCATGACAGCTAAACTGATATAATAATCTGGGGGGGGGGGGAGAGAAATCTGACCACTGGTCATCTTTGGAGGCCCTGCTTCGGATGCCCCCACCTTCTGAGACCGGGCCTTCTCAGTGTCAGGTAGCCCTGTCATGGCATTGGTATGTGGGGGTGATGCTCTCCTCCGCTTTCCCAGCGCCTCTCTGCCCAGCAACTGTACGCTATCGCGGCTTTGACCTTGCTGTTCCCAGCTGTGATGAGACGGCTGGGAAACTAAACTGCTAACCTGCTTCGCCGTTTTTTTCTGCTTGATTTTGCTGCGCGCACCAAGTGTAACCACTGGCCTTTGCTATTGGGGGGGTAGTTCGAATATGTTATAAGTCAGGGGCCACTATACTACACCGGTCATTCTTGACACAAGCTGTATACTCGTTCTTTAGTTATGGCCTACCAATAAAACCACTTATCTTCTCAAGAAGCCTGCGTGTGTGTGGTGTGATCCTGCTAAGGTGCTTGACACTCAGTAGTGTCCCCCAATGCTCTGGAAATCTTTCCCTGAGGAGAACGACCTGTCCCCTCCTGTTGTCATCTTCTAACAAGTGGGTGAAGACCTTTTTTGGTTTAGTTTGGCACTGCCTTGGCGGTTCCTCTTCCAGCCCAATGTTTTATTTTAAATGTTTCGATTTGTTGTTTTCATGCTTGTGGCCTGTTTAGTTCTGGTTTTAAATGTTTTAAAGATGTGTTTTGGCTGGTTCTCATGGTTTTAAAATGTGATTTTACTATGTATGTTCTACACATGAACACGTGAAGCGGCCTTATGCCGAGTCCGACCCTTGGTCCCTCAAGGTCAGCATCGCCTACTCTGACTGGCAGCGGCTCTCCAGGGTCTCAGGCAGGCAGGGGTCTTTCACATGATCACCCGCTTCCTGATACTTTTAGCTGGAGATGCTGGGAATGAAACCTGGGACCCCTCTGCATGACAAGCAGATGCTCTGCCACTGAGCCACAGCCCCTCTAATTTGTTATCTGCCGTGGATGACCCTGTGAATGCAGAAAAGAGGGACGCACATCAGTCTGTAGTGTAGCCTTGCCGTAAGAAATGTATGTCTGAAATCTGGATCTGTTTCAAGCTGGCTTCAAACTGCCGTGGTCCCACCCGAGCCAGGCTGGCTTCTCGATCCTTTATAAGTTACCTGCTTCCACTGGAGAAATGAGCTGGAAGGCAGAGTAGGGTTACTGGAGCCATGACGATCCAGTGGTTCTCTCCCATCCTGGCCAACCACTAGCAGAAAGTGGTGTTTGGGACAGAGTTGTTTGGATCCACAATTCTTTGGTGGGCACAGAGACTGTTACATTTCCAATGCCAGCTCGAGACTTCTTCAAATTTACCCTGGCATCTGATGGAGTTTGTTGCCCTTTCTTTCATATTTGCACGTTTTAGGGGGAAATGGCTTTAGGCTAGGGTTTCTGCCAGGTCCCCCCCCCCGCCCCCGCCCCCAGCGAGGAACGGCAGGCAGGGTTGCCAGATCCAGGTTGGGAAACTCCTGGAGATTTGGGGGTGGAGCCTGGGGAGGACAGGGACCTCAGTGGGGTACAATGGAGTCCACCCTCCTAAGCATCCATTTTCTCCAGGGGAACTGAAGATGTGTAATTCTGGGGGATCCCCAGGTCCCACCTGGAGACTGGCATCCCTACTTTAGGCCGCTACTACGTATATACTTTGTACCTTGTTTAGTACCATGATTTTAGAGCTGTTTAACGGCCTGATCTCAGAAGCTAAGCAGGGTCGGTCCAGGTCAGTACTTGGATGGGAGACCACCAAGGAAGTCCAGGGTCGCTCTGCAGAGGCAGGCGATGGCAAACTGCCTCTGAACAACTCTTGCCTAGGAAATCCCACCAGGGTCGCCATAGGTCAGCTGGGACTTGACGGTTTAAAAAAAAAAAAAAACCACCCCCCCCTTACTGCTAACATTCTAAAATTTGGGTTGCTGCTATTTTAAACATATTTTAATGTCAATCTTTAATTATTTCAGTATTATCTTAAGTTATTTGGTAAGGCCCTTCCGGAACCTTTGAATGGAAAGTGCAGCCCAAAGGTCAACTAAAGAAATGGAAACCAAAACACATGGAGATAGTCGACAGTCAGACAGGACTCCAAACTCTCCCAGACCAATCTTGTGAATATCTGAAAATACCGATACATCCCAGTAAATACCAACAGTCCCCTAAATGACATTGTCTGCACTCACTTCTGTGGGAAGTGAGAAATGAGGGAAATGATAACAATATGAAACGAGGCCTAATTTCACAAAATTCATCTGGGATCATCAACTTGCTGAAAAAAGCGACATATCAATCAATGCAGACTGTTCTACAAAAACAACTCTAAAAGTTTTAATCCTACAGTACAAGCTGGGACCACGGCTCACGCCCTCTTGTCTTGAGAGGTTGAATCAGGACCATAGCTACAGTGGGGCATCTCAGGGCTAGGCCCCCCCTGACTTACTGGCAAGGCCCCACGACTTCCCATCCAGCCCAGGGCCCCTGAGCAGGTGCGGGGGGGGGGAGAAGAAGAAGAGGAGGAGGAAGAGGAAGAAGAAGAGGAGGAGGAGGGAGAAGGGGAAGAAGAGGAGGAGGCGATTGGATTTATACCATGCCCTTCACTACTCAAAGGAGTCTCAGAGCAGCTTACAAACTCCTTTCCCTTCCCCTCACCACAACAGGCACCCTGTGAGGTAGGTGGGGCTGAGAGAGCTTTTTCAAGGACAGCTCTTATCAGAACTATGGCTTGCCCAAGGACATCCAGCCAAGTGCAAGTGGAGGAGTGGGGAATCAAACCCAGTTCTCCCAGATTAGAGTCCAGGCACTTAATCACTACACCAAACTGGCCGAATAGTCCTTTCATTCAATTAGCCAGTGCCGGCCCCCCCAAATTTAAATGCCCCCTGACTTAAAAAGTCCTGGCTACGGGCCTGGGTTGAATGCCAGCCTTTGCCACGGTGACACAGAAGGGCTCTATGCTAGAAAGTAAGTTGTCTCACCTTGTTTGAGATTCAGGTTCATGAAACCAAACGGAAGAGAAGCCGGATTAGGGAGTGGGCTGCATTCTTCCTGAACTCTAACACTTGGTTTCTTTTTTCCTCCACTTGCGGCCGCTTCAGCGTTCGAGGAATGCACTGAAAGGAGGATGAACACATTTCGTGATGGAGGGTGAGAAAGGCTACTTCTCCAAACCAGAGCGCAGGAGGGGGAGGCAGTCAGCTCCATCTGCTCACAAGGCATCAAGAAGCACTCACCTTTTTGCAGTCCTAGTTCCCTGGCCAGTTCAGCAGTTTTGTGAGCACAGATCGTCTGGATATTCCAAGCCATCTTAGCATCCACCCCTTCTTCAAGCAGCAGCTTCAGCATATTTGGCTGCAAAAGGTCGTGAGACCTCTTGCATCTGGGAAACCGACAGGTTCCTCTGAGAAAGAAGCGGCAAACATGAAGTTTTTTGCAATCTTCTTTTTGGGGGCAGTTTCCATCTTTCTTGTTGTAAAGACTGCATACCTGGAACAGGAGAGAAGGAGGGGAAATGGAGGAATGATCCTCCAGTTCATGCTATATGAAACTAAGCAGCACAAAAAAGGAAAGCAAAGGTAACATTGTTCGCCTCTGTTTTACTGGTGTTGCTCCTTCAAGCATCGTTGCATTTTTAAATGCTACCGAGTCTTCCAAAATCTCTGCTGTCTGCTGTACCAAAACCCTTTCTACCCAGCCTGGTTTGAGCTCTGTTGGGTTGAGCTCCATATGCAGCTGCCGGTGTGACCTTGGGTCAGTCACAAGTTCTCTCTGAGCTGTTCTCTCAAGGGCAGTTCTCTCAGAGCTCTCTCAACCCCACCTACCTCACAGGGTGTCTGTTGTGGGGAGGGGAAGGGAAGGTGATTGTAAGCTGCTCTGAGACTTCGAGTGAAGGGCAGGGGTATAAATCCAACCTCTTCTTCTTAAAGTGGAAAGGCTAGCTGATGGGCCCAAGAGTGCAACTTGCTGCCCTGAGAATGAGCCCCCAAACCAGAATCGGGAGGGGGGGCAGACCTAGTGGCCGGCCAACCCTAGCCAGAAAGAACCCTTCAAAACTGGATTTGGTTGCTTTGCCTCTTCATGGGAATTCAGGGTTCACTGCCATCTCAAGTTGTTTCACACACTACTCTACTGACAGTGAATTCCAGAGTGTAGTTAGCCGCTGAGTAAAGAAGTAGTTCCTTTTGCCTGTCCGGAACCTATTGCCCATCCGAGTAGTGATGGGCGGAGGTATAAATCCAACCGCCACCACCTCCTCCTCCTCTTCTTCATAATGTGCACACCACGGTGACATGAAAGCACAGGAGAGTGACGGTTGCCTCCATTTTGTTGTTGAAAACAGGCAAGTTCCTAGCCCTTGGAGTTGTCAAGACAGGCCTGGCAGTGTATGGGCATTGCCCAGTGCCATCCCAGAAGCCAGAAAGGTTGCCAGAAGGGGTGTCGTAGAAGCAGCTGAGGGCTGACAGAAGAGGAGTGGAAGAGAGGTGTAATCTGAACACGAAGTAAGGAGCGCTTTGCAGAGAGCAAGGAAGAGATGGGGTAGGGGGAGGTGACAGGAAGGGGTCTAAAGTGCAAAAGGCATTGCAATGGAGCCCCCAGGGGGCCACTCTGTGGCTGGGCTCGGCAGGTGCCTCTTGCTCCTCCCGTCTCCTCTTAATTTAATTTATATTTTATGTTTTATTGTAAACTATGTGTCGACTGTATGTAAGCCACCCTGAGCCAACCTTGGCTGGGAGGGAAGGGTAGAAATTTAATAAATAAATAATAAATAGTGCACAGAGGGCAATTTCCAGTTTGACCAAGCATCAGCTCAGCAGCATGGCCAAAGGCAGGAGCCCCAGTGAATGGGGTTTTCTTAATGCCACACAGAAAGGGTCGCCAGCCTCCAGGTGGGGCCTGGAGAACTCCCGGAATTACAGCTGATCTCCAGACGACAGAAATTAGCCCCCCTGGAGAAAATGGCTGCTTTTGGAGGGGGGACTCTACGGCATCATACCTCACCGAGGTCCCTCCCTTCCTCACACCCCGCCCTCCTCAAGCGCCACCCCCCAAATCTCCAGGTATTTCCTAATCCAAAGTTGGCAACCCTATGCACAATCCGAGCTTCTTATAAGCAGCTGGGAAAGGGAGGTTGCCCAAACTCTGAGACGCTTCCACATTATGGGTGCCTCCCCCTCTCTGCCTGAGGCCTCCCACCATTCTCACCAAACTCCCCCCTGAAATGGTCAGAAAGCCATGACTTTCCCTTCCTGGAGGACCCAGACGGAGCCAGTTTATCCCGCAGAATCAAGCAGGGAAACATTTTCAAGACTGCGCTGTTTCAAGCCACAGGGTGGTCATGGAGGCAATTCATGTATAAATTTGCCACATATGAAAGACACGCACAGAACTAGTCTGCTAAAAGGGCAAGCTGATCTCCGCTCTTATTTTCTTATATAAAAGGAGCAATCTTCCCCCATGAGGGACCATTCAAACAAGCTATCCACAGGTACACAAGCTGGGAAACATCTTTGTTACTGGAGTCTCCCGTCCATACTGTAAACCGGCACAAGCACTGAATTCAAGTCGACTTTATATCGACAGCAGTGAATCCGCGATCATGTAAAACTACCATCGCAGATCTGTTATTATGGTCAGCTTAGGCAGGAGAGAAGCTTATTAGTTCCGTCTCGTTGACTGCAAGGCCTTGCTGTACCCTCTCTAAGAACACATCACTCGTGGCCCTGCTGTGACCAACTAACCCTTTGATAAGAGACCCCCTCAGCTGATGTAGCTAAACCGTGCCATGGGATCGAAACAACTCACATCAGGCAGCAGAAAAGGGTCGTTCTGGAGAAGGAGAACGCGCAGCTCATCCTCATTGAGGCCAGAGAGTTCGTGGTCCTTCAAGACTTTCCGGTTTTCCTCCGAGAAGACATCATGAGAATACTTACAGGCCCTGGGAATAAAGGTGAAGGAGAGGAAATCAGAATGTCAGCATTATGACATGACTAGTTGTGTATGGAGAGCAAATCCCACCTTCCTCCTCTTTTAGGCTTCCAAATCTGTCCTAACTTCCTCGGAAGAATGTAATAACGAACCAGATCTAAAGTAGGTACCCCAAATACCATCACTCTTGAGAGTGACCCCCCGAAAAAAACCAACAACAGTATTTAGGATGCAGAAGTGCAGATGATGAACTGGAGCTATGAAAGCAGGAGCAGAACTGAGCAAGTCAGCAGG